AAAGCGATTTTTTTCTATAATTATTAAAAATTTTTACGATTAAAATCTCCAGTAGTTTATTGCATTTTTTTAAGAAATTTACATTCCATAAAAGTACACAGGTTTCATGCGATTGGTTAAACTTTCGTTTTTACTATTGTTATAATTAGAAAGGCAAACAATTTTCATAAAAAATTTAATTTTTCAAACGTTCATCAAATCCACACAGTTCCTTCAAAATAAGTATTGTACTACAATCAGTTTCCAAGGTGGTATTCCTGTACCATTAAATTTCCTATTTTAATTCTGTTTTGTTTTATTAGCTTTTCCCGTTATTTCTATGCTACACATAGTTTACTGCACGATTTAAATTAATTAACTTGTTTTCACATTGTTGTGCAAGTTTAGCGTAGTATAACCGATGTTAGGTACATTTCATTAAACCATAATATCCATAAATCTTGAGCGTTTATTTTTTTAATGTTATACCCCATGTTGACCTAGCGTGACATATACGTTGCGCGAATTACGAGAATTCTTATCTAAAACAGGACTGATTTCACATTAAGCAAATGTTTTTTTTTTTGTTTTTTTTTTTCAAAAATCAAGTAGTAGCTAACGGAAGAAAATATTTATTTAATTAAAAAAATAGTTTTAACAGGAGGTTTTTCGCGTCCCGCCATATAAAAATTCTGGAGTTACTGGGTTTTAATACTTGTTAGACGAGCATCGATGTTCCACTAATTCATAATAAATGCTAATTTTTTTAAGTCAAAATAGGAGAATTTTCTTGAAAATAAAGTGAAAAAATGTCAAGAGAATTACCCTTAAACAATTTCTTTATTCAGAAAAAAATTTGCTGATCAGAAAAGAAATTTTATGTCTGAAATTCTGATTTAAAAAGAAAAAATCAAAGTCTGCAGATTTGTATTCTTATGTTTGATTTTTTCTGCCCTATTGGTTTCTTTTTGAAGTGCTAAAATTATTTACTTGAATTATACTATTAAGTAGAAAAACTTTAAATGCAAAAATATAGTTATTAATTTTCTAAGCCGGTATGCATGCATGCGTGCATAGTCCTCGGAATGTGTATAGATGCACGCCTGAAAATCCGCCATCGCAGCTTTTTAATTTCAACAAATTAAAAAAAAAAGGTTTGGGGGTGTGCATTATGTATTATAAAGAGTGGAAGCATGTTTGCAATCTAAAATGACTAGATTGTTTTATGTAAAAAGGAACAAATTAAATAAAACAAAGTTTTTAAAAGTATTTTGAGAAATTAGTTTAATTGATTGTTAAACTGGTTCTCGAGTTCATTACAATGCCAATCAAAGCCGTGATCTTACAACATCATTGCTCTGTTTAGTTTTTTTTACCGTTATCAAAATTATTTTAATATTAATGCTTTTTTTGTATAAAAAACTTTTTATCGACATTTAACTGTTTAGTTAGCATATAATAGTATAAGCAACTAGATTCAACTGCAAAGTGTAGATATAATCTAAAGGCACACACTGTATGGTCATTTAACATTAATTTTGCGTATAACTGATAACTTTAATAGTTATAGTTGATTTTAAAGGCAAGAAAAAATGCATAACTAATAACATTAAGATTAAAATTTCCTTATATTGTATCTACGAGAATATTTTTGTTTCTGACTGGTCTCAGCCAATTACAGGTGGTTTTCCGTTTAGACTTAACTCTCTAAGTTAGACAGAGGGTCATAGAGTTCTCAGTAATTTTAAACTGCATTTTGGAACTATGAATTCGTTTAAAAAATCAGTACATGATTAGTCGTCTCAGAGCGGAAAAAAGCGGGAAAACGTTTGTGTAAAGGAAAAACAAATCTGGAGATGATTCTAAAAAATTGCAGTGGAGATTAAAAACCAATTTTAGTTTTCAATATTCTTTTCAATATTCTTATTAAAAATTTTTGTGAAGAAACAAACGTAATTTATTTAAATAAATTTCTAGAAAAATTGGTAAATTCGGCAAATTTAAGCTTCTAAGGGAATTTTTTTCTTTTCTGTTTTTAAAGCGTAAGAAATTGGTTAATGAATACTCTCTGTGTTACCTAATTTGATTAAGTTAACAATTACTAAAAATGAACTGTTTTAGGAAGCAATTTAAACTAGTATCTTACATGTGTAGTTATGTTTCAAAATGACGTTACTTAATTACTGTCTAAAACTTTATAATTTCAGTAGCTATTCCTGTTCATCACACACTAAGGTTTTTGCAGGGCNAATAGTATAAACAACTAGATTCAACTGCAAAGTGTAGATATAATCTAAAGGCACACACTGTATGGTTATTTAACATTAATTTTGCGTATAACTGATTATTTTAATAGTTATGGTTGATTTTAAAGGCAAGAAAAAATGCATTACTAATAACATTAAAATTTCTTTACATTGTATCTACGAGAGTTTCTGACTGGTTTCAGCCAATTGCAGGTGGCTTTCAGTTTAGACTTAACTCTCTAAGTAAGACAGAGGATCATCTCAGTAATTTTAAACTGCATTTTGGAACTATGAATTCATTTAAAAAATCAGTACATGATTAGTCATCTCAGAGTGGAAAAAAACGGGAAAACGTTTGTGTAAAAGAAAAACAAATCTGGAGATGATTCTAAGAAATTGCAGTGCAGATTAAAAACCAATCTTTAGTTTTCAATATTCTTATTAAAAAATTTTGTGAAGAAACAAACATAATTTACTTAAATAAATTTCTAGAAAAATTGGTAAATTCGGCAAATTTAAGCTTCCAAAGGAGTTTTTATTCTTTTTTGTTTTTAAAGAGTAAGAAATGGGATAATGACTACGTTCTGTGCAACCTAATTTGATTAAGTTAACAATTACTAAAAATGAACTGTTTTAGGAAGCAATTTAAACTAGTATCTTACATGTGCAGTTATGTTTCAAAATGACGTTACTTAGTTACTGTCTAAAACTTTTTAATTTCAGTAGCTATTCCTGTTCATCACTCACTAAGGTTTTTGCAGGGCGAGAATTTCGTAATATAAAAAGAAAATTAATTTATAAAAAGAAACGTGTAAAATTCTTTTTTCGAAATTGAATGTTTTTTCTTTTAAATATTAGCTTAGATTCCTAATCTCTTGAAATATAGAATTGAGATGTTTCAAATATTTCATAAAGCTTACTGAACAATGAAACAAGAGTATTTTAAGTTTTATGAATAATTGTAGTAAAAAGTTACAATGAAAATAAAAACAAGATAAATTTAAAATGTCATTTCCCCTAGAATTTTTAATTAACAAATATGGCTTTTAAAAAGAAATAATTGGCACAGTATTTGTTAAATAATTATTTTTGAAACTCAGAACATTTTATCCCAGCTATATCCGTTTGTACAATTAACAATTATAAATATTAAATATTTGAGATTTAGAGAAAGAAAACTTTCCTACGTCATGGGCGTCAACTCTTAATTTCATTTTCATTTGGCATGGAAAAGAATAATTACGCACGATATAGATATAACATTTATNAACAAAAATTTATTGTAAAATAATTTTTGATTTACTGAAGAAGCAAAAACATTTTCTGCCGCAAGGAAATTTCTTTAGCTTCGAATTCACAGACAGCAATAGGATTTTCGAAATCAACCGCATCTAATCTGTTCTCAGTCGCATATAAAATCTTTTATAATCAGTCTTTTGTCAGATAACATTTTCTATTTTATGATGATATTTTAGTAGTGTGTTTTAAACTTAAAAAGCATATTATAAGTAGTTACGAGAACGCGTCATAAGCAATTTAAAATGGCAAAGCTTTTGCAAATTTACGTTTATGTTCATGTTAAAAATCCTTTGAACCAAAGTAATCTTTCTGAAATTAGAACATCTAAGATATTTGCTCTT